CTCTGCAGTTGCACAGGTTGCAAAAAAAGAACAACTGGTGACACAAGCATTGTGGGAAATGACCTTGTCTCCCATAAGGAGCCCAGACATGACCTTGGGAGTAACAGTAGTAGAGTAACAAAAATCCACCAGAAGGAGGTTACCAAGGAAAAAGTACATGGAGGTGTGGAGAGAAGAGTCTGTAAGGATCAGTAGGACCATCCCCAGGTTCCCAACCACAGTGATAAGGTAGATGAAGAAGAACGTTGTAAAGAGAGGGACCTGCAGGTGTGGGTCATTGGTCAGTCCAACCAGGATGAACTGCTGTGTCCCTTCTGTCCTGTACTCCATCAGTGCTACCTGAGAAACTCTAGACTATTTATAGCTATGAAAGAAAAAGAGCATAGTGATGACTGGGATTGAAATTAGAAAACACATGATGTAGGTTCTATAGAATAAGCATTGGCTTCAGAATCAGACTGAGTGCATCCATGGGATGCAGTTATGGACTGTGGAGCTTGAGAGATTTCAATGAATCATGCGAACATCGTAAATGTTTCTTCATTGAAGCGAGATACAGTGCTTAGTAACATTGTGAACAAGACTCGTGTGGCTCAAGCCATCTGCCAATTTAGACAACACAGGTGGTAGAATTTTTGGAATGTTTTCATTGTTCCTGCTGAACAGTGTTAAGAATTTGACTTGATTTTTGATTAATACAAAGTATAGAACATTCGAGGTAGATTAAGTCATATTTACAGAAATGAGATGCCACTTCTGTCATGGACATATTTTAACACTCGGCATACATTGAGTGGGTCCCACATCAAATGTATGTGATGATCCAAATGAATTTAAACCAACTTAAATTTCATTGAATTGCACTCTATATCAGAATTCTCATTTTTAGTTCAATCTCAATCTTTGGGAATATCATCATAGGCTAAGGTAGCAATTTAATTTCATTCATCATATATTTTCCTCTGGTTAGAGGTTAAATACAATCAAGCAAATAAAACCCCTAAGCAGGAATTGATCCCTCCACCAATAATGAAGGAATACTAAATGAAATATCCAACTCTAAATTACATTTGAACTTTTGCCCTCACACTCGTATACCTTTATAAAGTTATCTTTAAGTAGCTGTACAAAGAATCTTATGTTTTCAATACCAGCATATCTCTCCGTGTTGACGATGACATGACTAAACTCCTAAAGTTTTAATGAAGGTAAAGGATTTGCCCATTGAATCAGACAGCACAACTCTTCTCTATGTATGTTGTCAGGTAATAGGTAAGTATTCAACCTGCAGAGAAAAATCTGATTACTGGAACACCATCAGATATGTCAGACATAAAATATACTTTCAAGTATATTCAACCTGCAGAGAAAAATCTGATTACTGGAACACGATCAGATATGTCAGACATAAAATATAAGTTCCTGAAAAGATGCGTATCAACATTCCCATTTATCACCTAACACTGGCGCTAACATTCTGTGCTTGAATATTACACTCCAAAGTGATCAATAAAGACAGTAATAAGGCCAACTTTGAGTCTCTGTGAGAAATAAACAAGAAAATACAAGCACAAAGAAAGATACAGAACCCTGATCAGTGTCACACATCCATGTTATAATTAGGACAAGATAACCTTGATATTTATTGATTCAGACTAGATGCTGATATGGAGAGGTTTAGTTCTGGGTAAGGTTCTGTGTGAATTTTCTTTCTCCGGCACTAGAAGTACTGAAGTTGTCTGTCCTTTCCTGTATTCCTCAATCTGTTCTTTGCCCAATCATGACCACTGCTTCGCAAATTTCATGTGGGTCATTCTTAGCAAAAAAAAAATGTATTTCTTGAAATTCATCATTTAGTATAGAATAAAGTTTTTTAAATTTTATGTTTTTTTCATGAATCTCATGACACAGCCAGATCACAGTCACCAGGAGTCACCCAAAGTTGCCAGTTTATGAGCTTTCTGTGTATTTTTAAGACCACAAGTTCAGATGATAAAATATTTTGTTTGAATCTTCTTGTGTAATCACAATACTTATCATTTCCTCTTTGACTTGAAACATTTGGAATAATATTCTCTCATCTAACAAGTTTTCCCTATCCCTATTTTCCTACATTCTTGGTCATTTCAATTGATGAGCCTTCTCTTTAAGACATATGTTTGTCTTGTGAGTTCTTGTCAGTCAGTCAGGCCACCATCTCTGATGAGCCACAATACATGTAGACCGGACCACCTGGAGCCTAGGGCGTTTCAAGGGACTTACACAGATGCACCTTCAGATACTCAAGTTGAGACATATATGTCCTCACCTGTACCTGCCTACTCAGATTCATATATACATGATTCATATATACATGCCTAGCTTCCCCTGGTCTAGGAGAAAATTAGAGGAAAGAATATCACAAGGCAAGATTCAGGGGTGAGAGGAGGAAGGGCTCTTCTCAGCCCATAGAGAGAGTAATGTGTCTACTCTCTCTCCAAGGAGGGAGATTTAGAGGAAGAGCAGAACTATAATGGCCGCTCTGTTCCTGGATGGACAGGCATAAAAGCAGAGGGCAGCACTAGCTTTCCCAGCACTCTCCAGCATGCTCAGGAAATCACTGCACATGGAAATTTTGCAATGCCATGTCAACCTGAAAGTCCATGACACACACACTGACTCTCAGAAGGAATGAATATTAAGTTGCATGATCACTGTCAACGTGCATTGTATTCTGTAACCAATGAGAGGTTATGGAATCGAGAGTGTGTGTGTGTGTGTGTGTGTGTGTGTGTGTGTGTGTGTGTGTGTACTGTATAGTATTATTATTGCTTTACCAGTAAGCACACTGAGGATCAGAGAAGGTATTCAAACCTGTAAATTTACACAGGTAGTATCAGAAAGCTACCATCCAAGAACAAGCAAGGAAAAATGTTGAAATTCAATTTGAAGAATATTCCCCCCCTTCCTCTTGCAAAGTTTTTAAGAGTGAAGAAGGATCATTTCACTATCTGGGATTTTGTGATTTGGGATATTTTTTTAAATCCAACTGAATCAAAACAAAGTAAACAAGATAAAAGTCACTAATCAAACAAACACAATCTACCCTACTTTCATTTGTATTTGGGGGAAAAGAATATGATTTATCATGTGAATCTCTAAAGCCACTCTGATAGACTTTTTTCATTTATAATACAGACTTACTACAGAATTTTTAATCTATTTAAAAAAATTATAGTCCTTTTCTCTGTTATGATTGATACTCAATAAGGTATTACTTTTGCAATTCAAAGTCTTATCATTTTTGTATGAGAAAAATCATGCAATCATTCAGAACAATCAATCTGAAATTAGCAATGGCATACTTCATAATTTCTATTAGAGGAGCATTCTCTTATACTATGGTCAGAAGATCCCACCATCTCCAAAGCTGGGGAAGACATTAACGTGGGCCATGTTCTGAACCATGGTTTCCTTCTGTCCTTATAAGAATGACTTACCTTTTCATGAATAAGAAAGAAACACGGAGAGAGTATTCTCTCACACAATCCACATTGCTGATGGTATCTGGAAATGCCAACTACAACAAGCCTCATGAGGAGTTCATTGTTTAAATGTCATTAAATATCATCTTCTCTCCAGATACTTTCCCTGACCATGATTGAAGGCACAAAACTCACCTTCTAGTAGCTCTATTTCTTTTTTTTTTTTTGGGTCCGGTTGTGGGGCCTGAACTCTGGGCCTGGGCGCTGTCCCTCAGCTCTTCAGCTCAAGGCTAGTGCTCTACCACTTGAGCCACAGCGCCATTTCTGGCTTTTTTTCTGCATATGTGGTGCTGAGGAATCGAACCCAGGACCTCAGGCATGCAAGGCAAGCGTTTTACCACTGAGCCAACTTCCCAGCCCAGCTCTATTTCTTAATGTAATCATATTTCACTTGAATTGTTTAACAAACATACGTGAAGCTTCACTTACAACCACTCAGGTTCTTTAATTAAAAGTATATCATTTGTTGTATACAATAGTAGTATTTGTGGGTCTGTATGAACAAATAATATTGTGAATACAATGCTGTCTTTATTATTTGAAATGAAGTTAGTAGTGCTTTGAAATCTATTTAAAATTTTTAAAATGCAGAAACTTCTGAACCAATCCAGAAAACTCATGCTTCAGATCCTATTCCTGACCTGGGTACAGGTGACTCACATTTATAATCCCAGCTACTCAGGAGCCTGAGATATAAGGATTGTAGTACGAAGCCACCCTGAACAGACCATGAGACTCTTACCTACAATTAGCCACCAAAGAAACTGGAAGTGGAGCTATGGCTCAAAGTGGTACAGTGATAACTTTGAGCAAAAAGCCTAAGGTAAAATGTCCAGGAACAGCACCCAGCCCTGAGTTCAAGCCCTAGGACTGGCACCAAATGAAAACAAAGTGGAAAAAAACTGAACATGTATAAAGGGAAAATGTGTAGATAGAGAAAATAAAATAACTTCTCATGTGTATTTCTCTCTAGAATTCATGTGTATCTCACGCAAGACCATCATTAATGTTTCAAAGATTTCTTTACAGGCTGGGAAGGTGGCTCAGTTGTAGAGGGCTTGCCTTGCATGCATGAGGCCCTGGGTTCAATTCCTCAGCACCACATATGCAGAAAAAAAGCCAGAAATGGCGCTGTGGCTCAAGTGGTAGAATGTTAGCCTTGAGGTGAAGAGCTGAGGGACAGCACCCAGGCCCAGAGTTCAGGCCCACGACCAGACCCAAAAAAATAAAAATAAATAAAAATATTTTTTTACTTATGCAACTGAATTCAAAGCTTAGTTTCTTGAGTCAATAGATATATGATAGATGATGATGGATGGGTGGATGGACAGATAGATATAGTGTTGCCATCATAATGAAATTCATCAAATGTTGTTTGAAATAGGGTAGAGGAAGGAAGTAAAAATGGATGCATGGTGGATGAAGTGAATGCACTCAAAGTGCAATGTGCTCATGTATAGAAAACCACACTAACACCCCCCTATATTACAAATGTACACTAGGTCCACGTGAAGCTAACTAAACAGTACACTAAAACCATAAACATTAGTTTGTCCTGAAAACAATTTTTGTGAATGCATTCTTGACCTCCTTGTTCCTCAGGCTGTAGACCACAGGGTTGAGCATGGGGATGATCATAGTATAAAACACGGATGAAATTTTGTCAGTGTCCATGGAATGACTGGAGCTGGGCTGTAAGTACATGTACATAAGAGTGCCATAGAAAATGGAGACAGCGGTGAGGTGAGAAGCGCAAGTAGACACCGCCTTCTGATGCCCTGCCCCTGAATGCATCTTTAGGATGGTGATAAAAATTAATATGTAGGATATTAAGATTACCAGCAAAGCAAAAAAGATATTAAAGCTGGCTACACATACAAGAACCAGCTCATTCACCTGTCTATCAGAGCAAGATAAAAACATGACTGCTGGCATATCACAGAAAAAGTGGTGGATCACATTGGACTTACAGAAGAACAGACTGAATGTGTCCCCAGTGTAAATGGAGGCATTCAGGAAGCCGCAGACGTAGCAGCCTGTGAGCAGGCATGCACACACGTTTGCCGTCATGGTGGTGGTGTAATGCAGGGGCTTACACACGGCTGCATAGCGATCGTAAGACATGGAGGCCAACAGGTAATTTTCCACAGTAGCAAAACCTGTCACAAAGAACATCTGAACAGCGCAAACATTGTAGGAAATGACTTCATCTCTTAGAAGGAGGCCAGCCATGACCATAGGAGTGACAGTTGAAGAGTAACAAAAATCCACCAGAGACAGGTTACCTAGGAAGAAGTACATGGGGGTGTGGAGACGCGAGTCCAAGAGAATCAGGAGGACCATCCCCAGGTTCCCAACCAGCGTGATGATGTAGATGATGAGGAAGATGATGAAGAGGGGGACCTGCAGGTCTGGGTCACTGGTCAGTCCCAGCAGGATGAACTGAGTCACCTCTGTCCTGTTCTCCATTTGGCAATGGCGATCTGACAAACTCTACACTCTCTGTAGCAATAAGTTAAAATAGAGCAGAATGATACAGTTACTGACCCTAAATTGGAAAATATGAGGACAATATGTTTGCTTTCATCTTAACAACATCTTCTGGTTTAAGATTTTCCAGGAAAAAAAAGTGGCCTTCTGAATCAATGTTTTATTGAATCTAAAGAATTAAAATTAATCTTCCCAAATTAAAAAAAAATTGTGTATATGTATGCTGAGGTAAACAACTCAATGACTTGATAGAAATTATTTGTTTTTATGTATGTGTCTGTCAAATTACTTCTGTGGCCAGTGAAGTGGGTACTTCTATGTTTCCCACTTGCCAAGAGCTATTATAGAACTTTAGATGCATATTCACTGCCTGTTTTAATCAATTTTATGAATTTGATCGCTTGTTCTAATTATACAAATTATTAAACAAAGGCTCACTGATTTGATCATAGTTACACACATATGATTTCACAATATCTACTCTGTACCCATGCCAACCTTTTTTTGTGATAAGTAGCTCCTAATTCCAATAGGGCAAATTAAATTTAAGTAAAATAGAACCTCGGACAATTTACTTTTAATAACTATCTATACCAATTTGAGCATTTGGGGTTCATCATGAAATCAGTGTACAGGTAATAATTTTATCTCCTTCACTATATATTTGCTTTTCATTAAAGATTCAAGAATGAAGAAATAAGTCTAGGAGAATGAAATTATCCTTTTTCAAGTATAAAATGTCCACATTTAATTAACAAATTGAGCTGCATTTTTCCTCCATTCCCCAGTTTTATACTTATTAACAAGACATCTTTTGCCAATGATCTGGTAAAACACACCCACTATTCTGCTGATGGTGAGTTTGACATTTGAGTCATCATAGCATGTCTATGTGTAGTAGTTGTGGTGGGTAACCAGGCTAGGGAGACGTGTGCAGTCAACTCTGAATGGACACATTGTGAGATATAGCAAACAGGAACTCCTACTCCTGGAAGATGTGCATGTTAGACCTACCACTTACCACTTAGGAAGCATTAATCCTAACCTACATTCCCTGAACATATTTCTATCTACAATGTAAGGATGGTAATGATGCCAATACTCAGGTATCATTGTGAAAATTAAATAGGATACTTTATTTAAAAAAATTCTAGGTACAAAACATCATACCAACTGCCATGTATTTTGAGGATGGAATAGTTTAATGGTATATATGTTAACTTGATTAAAGTGGATTCTGCCATGCAGGGCTTCATTTATGGGTAGTCTGTAGTCTTGAAAGTTTTTCTCCCCAAACTCTCTGCTCCACCCTAGGGCAACTGAGTTTATTTGTTCTCTCCAGTGTCTCCTCATCTATCTTTACTCCAAGCAGTGATTGCTGCTCCTAGATTATACTCAAGCTGAGCTGTTTCATTGTAACTTTCTTCCTTGAAGTCCATATTGGAACTTTAATTTTAAAAATCACTATCAATTTCTTTATCTTATTTATCCTCCTGCTACAATCAAATTTACTGAGAGCTAGACTTGAGACTCCCTCCTTAATGGGCTGTCTTTAACTCACATATCTCCTTAAAGACCTAAAGAATAGTTTGAATCTGTTCTTAGTAAGAGTATATTAAATTTCTTCACTGGAATTGAGGAAGAATATCTTGAATATCTTCCTAACAATAATGACTACTCCATACCATTTTTCTACTAAGCCTCTGTCACTTTAAAAGCTTGCTAATGAGCACTTTTCTCATATTTTAATAAATGAATGATGACTGTTTTTTGGTAAATGGTTTGAACTCACAGCCTTGTGCTCATTCCCTCTCCCTGGTGCTTTACTGCACAAACCATGCCCCCAGACTGGCTTTTGCTGGTTATTTTGAAGACAGAGTGTCATGGACTTGTCTGCCTAGGCTGGCTTTGAACCATGATCCTCTGGGTCTTGTCCTCCTGCATAGCTATGATTAGGCTTAAGTCACCAGTGCCTAGCTAAGAAATGCATGACAATTTCACTATTTACTCTGTTCTACAACAGTGATAATGACATTATAGAGAAGTGTGTGTGTGTGTGTGTGTGTGTGTGTGTGTGTGTGTGTGTGTAAGGGGCTAGGAAGGTAGCTCAGTGATAGAGTGCTTGCTTGCATGCATGAGGCCCTGGGTTCGATTCCTCAGCACCACATAAGCATAAAAAGCCAGAAGTGGTTCTGTGGCTTAAGTGCTAGAGCACTAGCCTTGAGCTGAAGAGCTGAGGGACAGAGCCCTGGCCCAGAGTTCAGTCCCCATGACTGACAAAAAAAAAAGAAGATGAGGATTTGAAAAGTTATGTTATATTACAAAACCATTTAGCTTGTAGGAGAGAAATTCAAGATCCAAAAGTTAAAACCACCTTTAACCTAATCAATGTCTAACTGCCAACATGTATAGATGTGGTAGTAATAATAAGCATTATTATTTTAAAAGTTATTTTTAAAAAGTTAAACTGCAGTTCAGTGGTTTTTAATTCATATAAGGACTTACCATTTTAAGAAGAATCATTTTTACCCTTTGGATTTTCTATTAGTTATGTTTGCTTATTTACCAATGAGAAGCAAATACATTGTTAATCAGATAAAATTATCACCAAATCAACAGCAACATCATATATCTTATTTTGTGTTCGCATTTTAGAGAAATAAGCATGATGTTTTATGAGACTCTAAATACCTTCTGATGAGAGTTTTCACATTTAAACTCCACATTCACCTCAGATTTTTTAGAATGCCTTAGATGTCAAAATTAGCTTAATAAATACAAGTACCACACTGCTTTTGCAGGATGACACTTCTCACTAAAAGACTCATGAAATATAGAAAGCTTACCAGTTTCCTGAAAGAAAAAGAAATGTGTGGAACAAGAAATCCAAAATCACAGAATCAGCCATGGAGTGTTACATAAGCACTGCTAACATTATTATCATTATTAATTATCTGTGCTCCTGATCATGTACTGGTCCAAAAGACCCAAGTTTTGTAATAGAGGGGAAAATATTAACATGGCTCAGATTCTTAGTCTGCAATTCCTTCTGTCTGTTTTCTTGGAAGAATCATTTGCTTGCTTTTCATTTGCACATTAACGTTATGAAATTACATTTCTCACATAATAGACTCATGTGTGTAAGCTAACAAATAGTGGAGGTTTGCAAACCATCTTATGAAGAGGTGGTCATTTTGAAGTTAATCAATGTATGGTTTTAGTTTTCTTGGTCATAAAAGAAGTCTCATAGAAATCTTCATGTCAGAAGAACCAAAATGATTATCACTTGGACTAAAAACTAAGAACCAATGGAGCATGACACGTATTGTACTTCTTCTAAAATGGCATTATTTTAAGTGATATTGGGACTAGAGAAGCTAACACATGGAAGTCTTTAGAGAATTACAAAGACATCTAGACCTCTGCAGACTTTTCCTTTGGGAGTATCCACCCATCCTGACCTACACAGTGTTTAATTGTTTGAAGAAGAAGCACTTAAACTGTCTATGGGGATCAAGAAGGCTATTTTTATGTTGGAAAAAAAGCTTTTATACTACTTTTATTTCCTTCCTTATTTTATAATTAACGCATAATTTCCATACACTGATGTCTTTGCTTTGTGGCAGATGATTTAAAGAATTCTGCCTCCAGTATGGTCATGTAAATACTACCACAACACCCAAACCTAGTTCACCTGAGTTTGTCTTCGAAAACTTCTCTAAAACTCTTCCCTTAGCAGCAAATCATTTTTCTTTTGTTAGAATAGCCTTATAATGATGATTGTAAGAGACTACTATGAATTCATGCATACTACCATATTGGGTAACATGGAAATATCTACACTAACAAAACTGACTACAGAGAGAGAAAGAAATTAATCTTGCCTGTACAGTACAAACATTGAATCAATAACAAAGACCTTCCTCAAAATGAATAGTCCAGGACCAGGCCATTTCATTGGTGAATTCTCCCAAACTCACATGCAATAGTAATACATTGAAAAAAAACCATGAAAGGCTTTTCTCTGTTTCTTAGGAAAATCCTATCAAATTGTTGCAAATGTGAAGGCTTAAAGCATTTTTATTCTTTCACAGGATAAAAGTTATTAATTCCCAAAAGGTCCACTAGGTCAAAATCAAGAGCTATGAGAGGTCTGGATTCTTCCCAGGCTCCCATGAACACCACCTCATTCCTTACATCTCTTTCCCACTAGTAGGTGCTGTGGTCCCATCATTCCCTGTTGTTTTGGCAGATAGGCTGCTGACTCCCTTTGTTCCATGGTTTCATCTTCCTAACACGATAGTAATAAATAGGCCACCCTGTAAGTTTAAAAATGGGATTATCCACTGGATAATCTTGACAACTTATTCTTCAATTTTTTTTTAAATCTATAATCACAAGTGTATAGGTTTTCTTTTTAACCACCTAGAAGAAAGTCGAAAGATTTTAGAACTTAGCACGTGGATCTTTCCATAGGCCCTTTTTGACCTGGAAATCTGTGCTACCTTCTGAAATATTTCCATAAATTCAAAGCAATTCTAAAAAACTTAAGTAACTATTTAAAATAATAATTAGGGGCTGGGAAGGTGGCTCAGTGGTAGAGCGCTTGCCTCACATGCCTGAGGCCCTAGGTTCGATTCCTCAGCACCACATAAGCAAAAAGAAAAAAGCCGGAAGTGGTGCTATGGCTCAAGTGGTAGAGTGCTAGCCTTGAGCTGAAGAGCTGAGGGACAGCGCCCAGGCCCAGAGTTCAGGCCCCATGACCAGACCCAAAAACAAAATAAAATAATAATTAGGGACTCTGCATACATCTGTAATCTCAGCAGTTTACAAGGTGAAGACTGGGAGGATAATGTGTTGAGGCCTATCTATCTGGGCAAGAAGTAAGGAGAGAGGTGAATTCCACCATCTCTTTCAAGAGTTCGCATCCAATAACCTCACTTCCTCTCACTAGTACATGCCTCTAAAAAAGTTTCACTCTCAACAGGGCCGGCAGCTGAGGGCTCAACCCTGAACATATGAGA